GAAAATGTCATCAGTGTGTTTGTGTGCAAGGTGGTGGATCCAGATAATCCATTTGGAACATCCGTAAGTCAAAGACTGTAGCTATTTCTCTTACAGTAATGGTAGCCATGCCAGGCAGACCGCTACAACCTGAACTTTATTGTAAACTCATATACATCATGCATGAATAGGGAAATAACACCATAAGCGAGGTTTGTAGATGAGACGAACAAAACATACAGTGCTTACTAGAAATGTTTTGGGTGGGCGAGTGGGAAAAGGTTAGTAGTGGCGGACGCAACAAAAATAACTGCCCGCCAAAGGTCACACGACCCATTCCCAGGCTCCTTCCCTCCAGCGCCTTTTCAAGTTTTTCGTTTCACTCAGTGTAGAATAACATTTGTGACTTTCAAAAGTAAGAGCGTGTCTTTTTAGGATGTTGTGCACTTCATTCGCTTACAAATTTAAAATTGCTTTCTTCTCATGCGGCCAGGGAGGTGCAACACCCAAATCAATCTTACTTACACTTGTATCGCTCTTTCCATGCATACCACAATTATCTGAGAAGCATATGTGTGGCGGTGTAATGTCTGAGGTTATNCCAGTAAGGTGCAACACCCAAAATCAATCTTACTTACACTGGTATCGCTTTCTCCGTGCATACCACAATTATCTGAGAAGCATATGTGTGGCGGTGTAATGTCTGAGGTTATTTATGAGTGCCTTATTGGCGTATTATATGAACCGAGGCAAGTTTAATCGTTTTGCTATTTCAGGATGCCGTGCGAATTCTGTTGCTGCAGTTCTCAGCTTTGCTTGTAGAGCATGCCTCACAGCATATCCATGATGCTGCAAATAAGTAAGTTGAATCTAAATCATAGTTTTAACTCTTATTGTGTAGCTATACTCCGTAGAGTACAAATAAAACATTGCCGTAACCTTGCTTCTGAGAAGAAAGCATTACCTTTAAAGGGGGAGAAAATTACCATCTACTTCTCTCTGATTCTTATTAAAACGATGGCAAAATCAGTCGCCTATTCC